GCAGTCGCGCCGAGCAAATGTTTAGGAATGTAAAACGTTCATGGATACGCGCAAGACCAGCGCATGATTCAAGCATCCAGAAAAATTCTACCGCGCGTCATGCCGCAGAAGGAGAACCGGATCCCAGAATCGTTACCGATCGGTTTAGAATAAATCGCTTGCGTAAAAGCATCCACGTAATCAACGGGATCAACGTCAGCGCGCACGCGATATACATATACATGTGTATATTTAACGTTAATAAATCTAAGTGTCACGTGTCGATTTCGTTCTGACTAATTTTCGTCGATTACACGATGTTAAGTAGACGATAAAAATGCATAACGTAACGTAACGCGCGACATAATTCGAAAATCGACGACACTCGAGATAAGCATCGATCCATCGCGACATTCCGATCGCTCGCTCGCGTGCACGCGAGAGCGCGTGAAACGCAAGGAACGACTTCACGCGATGAAAGTCGCGACCGGCCACGCTCGATTTGCCAAGGAGCAACGTCATTCAACGAGAGCAAGAAAGAAAATCTTTCGTCAACTCGCCGCCGGCAAAACCTATATATATACATATATATATATATATATATGCCAACTTCGGCCTACGACCAATCTTGAGGACATTTCCTGTGGAATGCGCGCGACCCAGGTAGATCTAGGTACCTGCCGCAGGCAGCAGGTAGCTGCCTCTCAACCTTAGCAGCCGGACGAAAGAGAAGACGACACGAGGGCGTGGTGCGTGTATTTGAAGATCTCTCGTTTTATATACCGGGTGCCCCGCGCTTATTGTATTATATTATACTCCAACGCCGCGAAGGAACGCGAGGAAATAATGAGCCGCTAATTGCGTCTTGACTTGTAATTAGTCGCGCAATTTCGCGCCTTACGTCCGCCACGTTCGCATACTGATGTACGCATCTTAATGGGTTTTACTTTCTGAATAACCTAGCCATGAATTATGTAAATCCACTCTTTCTGTAAACGATATAAAAAGGATATTGTTTAAAACTCATTTTATAATTGTACAAGCGTGGGTGTAAGTGGTTGTAGGTGCAAGAATTGACCAATCATAGTCAAATATTCTCCTTAAAGAACTATGCCCAGTTTTGTAGGGGAATTTAAGCCAGGATGAACAACTTTGAGACATGCCTAAAATTTTAAGGTATCAAAAGAGAATCAAAAATTCCATAAGCCCAACTTTATAGAAGTTTCCTGAGTGCTACAACTATTCAAAGTTCGCTATTATGACGAGAGATAAAATCCATATATTGGCCATATTTCAATTCGGCAATTAAAACCTTTTGTTTCATACTTTGAGTGTCTCTCTCACCTCTTCATCGATTAATATATATCTATTATAATTATTCATTTGAGGTCCAAAAAAGGTTTTAGTTGTCTTCGTCAAGATCGGACATATTTCAGATACTAGATGATTCGAGAAATCGAATAAAACCAGTCTTACATGGTACACAATACATAGTCATAATAGCGAACTTTGAACAGCTGTGGCACTCAAGGGACTCATTTTACAAAGTTGTGCATATGGAATTTTTTAATCCTTTTCTATGCTCTAAAATCCTAGCTAGATCTCAATGCTGTTCAGCTGAGACCCAAACTGGGTATAGTCCTTTGACTATGATTGATCAATTTTTACAACTACAACCACTTACAACTACACTTACGCAATCGTAGAATGGGCTTGAAAAAATATCCAAGCTTACTGAAATTATTGTGGAATAAACATTAACAATTTTGTACAATGAGTACGTTCTATCCTTTTTCAAAAATAAGGTTTTTTTAAAAGATGTATTTAAAAGATCCTCTGTATGAATACTTTTTACACTCATTGTATAAAATATAAATTTGTAAGTTTTCTGAAATAAAAAAGTATCAACAGAAAAATTTATTCCATACGTTATGTCATAAATATATCTTTACTCCTTGTTTTCTGAAAGAAATAATAAAACGTGCAGAATGATATTTACAGTTCGATTTTGTATTTTTTGAAATAAAAATATCGAAAATGTGTGTGTGTGTGTGTGTTTATCCTATTCTTGGTATTTGTTATATATTTTGCACCTTGTTTTCCGGAATGAAATAATAAAATGTACATAGACTGGTATTTGCAGTGTGATTTTATAACTTCTGAAATAAAAATATCAAAAGAAATTTATCTTCTACATCTTGGTATATTTTTTATCTTATTTTCTAAAAAAATTATAAAATATACAATAATATTCTAATTTTTTATTTAAAATTATGATAAATCTGATTTTAAACAGTTTAAGTTTCCATCCAACTAATGAAATAACCACAGTACCACGAAATCGTAGATCTCAAAAAATTAGAACGATCTCAAGAATAAAATATCGTAATAAAGTGGTTCTTAACTCTAAACTACATTATTATTGAACTGTTTCCGTCTGGAGAATGCGGAATTTTCCTCGAGTTTCTAGGACACGTTGTATAGCTGTCCGCTGACCTCCACACATTTTCACTTGTTCATTCGTTTACCTATACATTTAATGCGATTAGTAACGCCAGCCAAAACAGCTGCAGTTATTGTGCAAAGAAGTAGAGATGACATATCAATAGTTCCCCCACATTTTATCCTCAATATTTTTAATATTATTTTGGTTCATTTCGGAACTTAAAAGAAGTGAGAATGAAAGATAAGAGTGGAAATAGAATTATTTGAAGTTATTAAGTAGGCGTGAAAATCAAAATAATATTTCGTTTGCGTATTGTAATAAGCTATAAAATACAAGTAGAAACATTTTTCCTGTATTACAGAACTCTCTCTTGGAGTAGAGTTTCCGATCTTCAATTAAAAGTTTCAATTTAATAAACACAATGACAGACTTCTTTTTGGCGGATATACAAATTTTCAATAGTGAAAAGAAGCGGCGTTGAAAGTGTTAACAAGGTAAAAGCACGGTAATTATTACTGCGGCGTCGTTGGAAAGTCGCGAAAGGTAGATTGTATATTTCACATCTGTCGACACTATAGATTAGAAATATTCTATTTACAGTGCACTGACAATGAGAGAAAAATATTTAATATTCGTGATTATAATTGCATAATAAAATAATTATGGATAATTAGGAGCTCCATTTTTATGATTATTATTACTATAATGTTAGTAATATTAATTATATTTATGGTTCTATATACATATATATATATATATATATATATATATAATTAATATATATTTGCCACCGAAAAAAATTATTATATTTATAATCGTTTTCAGTGTCACTGCAATGAAAAATGTCCAATGGATTAATTCTGGTTAAATTCTGATTGAAAATAGATATGAAATGAAGAATATTCTTGTTAAATATATTAATTCTAGTTAAGATAAAAACGGTATTGTGATTGATATAATCAGATTTGATTTAAACTCGAACTTTCGTAATGAATTCCGGAAAAGAACAGAGCAGTCCACCATAATTAAACATATATATACTTTTTGGGATTTTCTGCTCTTTCTTTTTACGTAGAACTATAAAGTTTTGGATCATTCTGTAAAAAGGAAGGGCAAATAAAACCGGCGAATGGTAATTGCCGTGCAATCAAACATGCGAGTACGCAGTCTAGTGTTCATACGTCGGATTATGCGGTCACTTCCCGTGAAATTACAGTCGTAAGTCCGCTCTGACACGCGCACATAGTGCAGAAAAAGCGTGAGTCGCATTTTCGCCGCATATTCAACACCAAATACAGCCTGTCCGATCTTCATCTCATCTCATTTTCACGATGAATACCTTTCTCGTTTTAAGAAGCCAGCGGGTTATCGCATTTAGCTGCTAAATAGAGCGTACTTGGAGAAAAATTCGAACTTCAAACAGCGTATTAACACCGTGCTGTGTGAATCGCCATTGAGCCATACTTGGTGGACTTTCTGTACAGCCCGTTTGATATTTTAACTATGAAAAGAAACGTAATTGTAAAATAATTTCTGATATTATGCATGGATATATAATTATGATGTACACTGAGAGAAAAATTTTTGATGATTATGACTATAATTGTATGGTAAAATAATTATGGTTAAGAGCTCCATTTTCATAATTATTATGCTACGTTATAATGTAATGTATAGTAGTATAATGTAATAATACCTGTATATTTATAGTTCTATATATCAAAAAGAATATACGGTTATCTCTGAAAACAACTACAAATTATTTTATTAAGCAATTATAGTCACGAATACTAAAAGTTTTGCTCTCAGTGTGTTACGCAATATTGGCATATTATAGACCTTCTTTTTTATAATAATCATTTTTGTTCTTCAATTTCAATGTTATAAAATTCTTTAGTATTTTATAACAAACACACAAACAGACATATCGCAGGTTATCAGTGACTCAAGCGACGTGGTGAGCGAATAACATTGGCAAAGTACGGAACGTGCTTGGAGTCACGTGTTAAGAATGCGATTAACAAATATATCGTAAGTCAATGTATATTAATGGCGAAAGTATGTTACCCTAAATAATAACGGCAACGCAAATAGCGGATGTAACGGAAAAAGAATAGGAACGCCGGATAGAAACAGTCCCCGGTGTTCACGCAACGCTACGCACGCACATAGGTATGTACATTACGATATAAATGCGTGGATGTTGTCGCACAAACCGCACCGTTTCTCGGACGTTTCGGTTCACCGCAAAGATGTAATAGATTTATACGAAGAATCTTACAACCGCGGAGTTTCAACACCTGTTCTCGAGGGACGTCAACACGCTCGACGTTTTCGAGTTCCCAGCACCGAGGATCCAGTCTGAAGAAATAGGTTTTCCTCATCGTCGAGGAAATGCGTCTCTTTCTCTCTCTCTCTCTCCCCACCCCCTCTCCCTCTCCCATTGCAGAAGTTCGCAGTGTCTCAAGACCGGATAAACGTCGTTTACAACCGATACCGTCGACACGTCGGCGTAACGAATGCGCTGACTCAAACGCTGACATCAAGACTTCAGCTCTCGTTCCTTCGCACATACCTTGTGTTTACGTCGATGCGGTCTAGAGCGGCGCGTACCGGTGCCGAAGAGGAAATCGTCTTTCAGCAAGTGCGCGTCGTGCATCCTGCTCGCTTTTCTCGCCTTCGACGTGGTTCGCCGCTTCTTCTGGTTCACAATGTGCTTCTTCTTTTTATTTCTAAAGATCTTGCGAAAGATCTTCATACTGACAACTCGATGGACCGCGCGTGCGGACTATACTCGAACGCAACGCCAACGAAGCAATCACCACCGTGGACAATTATCCTTGTATTAAAATAACGATGCGCGTAATCGGTTGCATAAGTTTATGCACTGCTAAACTCTCTACACTGAGAGAAAAAAATGACAAAAAATTGCAATTGCCATAATTTAACTATAATTTATAGTTATTTCCGGTGTTGATTATACGTACTTTTTTTAAATAATAAAGATAATTATTGTTACTATACTGTAAAAAATAGGTGTGGATTTAACACCATATAGTCTTTATATATTATACACTTATTTATACACTTAATAGTAGTGTATAAATAAATTCTTGCAGTTTTTTTTCGATATATCTATTAATATATAAAAGAACAACGCAAACATTTTAATCAAAGTATTGTCTTCACAAGTCTCACTAATTATTTTGATTGCTTCAGTCGCGGTTTCACCGCAACAAAAGTAGTGTTAAACATTAAACCAAAAATGTATTTAATCGTCTAATTGCGCATTGTTATGTAGCTTTCAAAATACAAGTTGGTTAATCTTACTATAATGAACAAATTGAGCGCGGATATTTAAATACACATATTTAGATAGCACTGTCTAAAGTTGACTTCGAAAACTTATTTATATTGCACTTAACAATTTTCGCTGTGTTGCTATAAACACCAACATGATGTGGATTTAACACCATGGTTTACAACCCATCTTGATGTTTATTGTCATGTCAGTGAAAATTATTATTTTAACATTTATAGTATTAAACCATCCACACTCATTTTTTAGAGTGTAACACTACAGAGATAATAACTATAAAAGCAGTAATAACTATAAAAATGAAGTAAACTATAATTAATAATTATTACACCATGCAATTATACATTATAATTGAGGGGATGGATGGAATAAAGGCCTAATTATAAAATTAGGTTTTTCATGTAATATTGATCGTAACAGAGAAGTATTATGACATGTAACTTTAAGAAAAGTTACGATCAATATTACATGAAAAACCTAATTGCCGGAAAAAGGGCTTAAGTAGAATCATGCCTTTATTCTCATCCCCTCAATTATAAATACCAAACACTTTTCTCTCAGTGTACGTAGATTAACTTCATGATCGAGAATGATTGATAGAAGAGTTCACGTGAAAACTGTGCGCGGATACCGCGGGTATTCATGCACTCAAACGATGCGCGACAAACCCGCACTAAATCGTTGCCACTGACGACTTTACACGAAAGTCCATGACGTTACTCATCGCGATGCGCCATGTGCGACGGGGGCGGCTCATGGTTTATCGTCACGCAGACCAGATAGGCGCAGAGAGTCAGGAATCCCCCGTGATTTCTTCCACGGTCCGGCCACACCGTTCATTTGATCGATCGTGCGAAGCCCCACACGTCCGCCACGCTTCCGCAACGCAAAGAGTTTACTGCGTGAATACTCGGCGTTAATACACCGCACTGGCTCAATGACATATGCATCTGGATCAAGCATTCGATCTCTAGCTAATCAGTGAAACTAAATGAAGCTAAGAAACTGTGCGACTAATACCCAATTTCTTCACCTCTAAAATAACTTTATCCAAGAATTATCTCCCAGAATACAATGGAGATATCTCCTGGATAAGGTTATCCACGACTCTGGAAGTGAAAAAATTGGGCATTAGAGTCATCTTTATGTATTCTCTTTTTTTTCTTCCAAATAAGCAACCTTGACTGAAAAGAGGGGATATATTCATGTTATATTAGAAATACGCATAATTTTTAATCAATTATAGTTACACTTAGATGAAAAGAAAAGGGAATATATATAAAAATAAGGCTTTTTGTCACAGTTTCTTTATCATAATGTCAACATTACGTTTTTTGTATACTCAATTAATCAGAGCAAAAGATACACACCTAATGATAGTAAAAAAAAAAAAAAAAAAAAAAAAAAAAAAAAAAATATACTTAATTGAATAAATTATTTTGCTGTTATTGCGTGGGATAACTATAATATAAAATATTTTATTCAATTATACATGTATGTACATTAGTTTGTTCAACTATATACACATCAATTCCACTTTTAAACCTTGTGTAGTTATCACCTTTATGTTATAATTGCTCTTATGATCTTCTCTCTGAATACAGAGAAACTAAATGCTTGGTTTAGATTCAAGTATATACGTTATTGCGTCGGCTGACAAATCAAGTTGCACGGTCAGTTAATCTGTCTCTTCGTTCGCTTTAACGTACATCTCTCTTCCCACGCGATATTCTACAGTAGATATTATTTCACTGGTTTCTTATTAACAGGAAATACGGCAAGTTGTGTTGTCTATTCGTGTTTTCTTATCCTTTAAAGCATTCAAGATATATTTATCTAAAAATTGAATTTATGTTCTTCGATTATTGTTCCATATATAGTAGAAAATATCGCAAAAGAATATTATAAATATATCCTATAGATATTTTGCATATGTGTATATATATTTTTTCAATCTTTTAAAAATTCTTTTTTTACTTTTTTATAAAAAGTCTTCTTCTTACATTCTGCATTTATTTCTCTCTTTGTTTACAGCGATATCTTCGAAGGCCTTTTACGCAAGACAAAAGATCGCGTTTACCTTGATTGTTGATTAATGAGGTCATCACACTTCCCACCGCATTGATATCGGTTACACCGGATGCACTGTTAAAGGACGTACGTATTGAACTCTGCATGCGTGAGGAATAAAAACAAAGTACTTCCTCCGGAAAACTGTAACTACCGAAAAAACTACGTCAACTTCGAGCTCAACTTAATTTTATCTCTGATTTCCTTTTCGTTCAATTTCGAAAGATATGGTTTGTCGTTTTAGATAAGCGTAGCTTTTCGACGCTTCATTCTTGGTATTATTATATCTCAGTTAATAGTAGTAGCAATAGAAGGCAAATAGCATCGTATTAATTTCTATGTGTCTGAATCTAGTCAAAGAATCACCCAGCATTTCATCGCTAACTTGGATTACTGCTATTTTAGAATGTAAACTTCTGTGTTGCAATCTAATGAGGACACAAATGGCGACTATTGTAAACTGTATCATTTTAATCATTGTACACAGCCTACTCTACATTCGTTGATAATGTTAAGATTTATTAATTAATCACACAAGATTGATGTTTGCAAAATTATATGATGTGCCTAATCTTGCTCCTTACTTTGTGACTCACATTTTATGGTCCACATTTTTCGTACAAAAATTTGCATATATTTATCATACTTATATTATAATTCTTTTATAATTTTTTAATGATAGTTATATGCTATAACAGAAATATTTAATATTCCAAGCTATTGTTTCAATAAATATTTTTCTAAAACTCTACTAATATTATTCCTGTTTGCTTATTTCTACAAACATAATTATATTTTTAGATACATCTAAGTGCGATCTATATTCTGTACTATCTAGATTCGTTTTTTACATTTTTCATTGCAAGAAAGCTTACTTTTCATTTTCAGGAAAAATAAATAAATAATAAGTAGAAAGGTCGACTGATAAATTCGTTTTAAATTACAGTTGCGTTTAACTTTGAAGATCATGAATTTCAGGTTACAGTAAACTCTATCTCATACATTGCAATAAAACGCAATAAAATATTTTCTGCAATCGTTCTTCTTGCATCATTCAATCTTTGCTCTTTTACATTAATGATAAGTTCAATAAATTTAGTGTTTCGATAGTTTTAGAGAGAGTTTTAGACAGTTATAACTGGATACGTATGTAACAGGGAAGATTAACGTAAAGATAGATAAGGTGGAATATGTTTGCACAGCCTTCACATTTTAACTCTCGATATATCCTCGAAAAATGCAAAAGAAAACTTTCATATTTTTACAACACATATACATAAGGTATACCTGGACTGATATGATAAAACGTACCATAATTACGTTTTACAGGTAAATAAGCGATTTTACTTTTACATTGAAAAAAAGGGGAAATCACTTATGTTATACTCCTTAAAGTTTAAACAAAATTGTAACAAAATACAAGATTTTAAATGCACAGCGTAATATTTATTTTTTTGACCTTCAATGTTATACAACATGTTCATGTTAAACATGTTGAACATGTTTTCATGATCATTTTAAAAATCCCTAGCAATTCATTTTTAGATGGATCCCTCCGACATGCGGAATACGCTATATATTTACAAATAAATATGTTCAGTAAATATTTAATTAGTGATTATAATATTCAAACAAATATTTATTAAGTTTTTTTAATGATTATTTTTTAAAATTATATATTGCCATTTTGCAAAATTAAAGACAAAGGCATCTAATCAAATTCACGAAATAAATGTAAAATACATAAGCAACGAGAATAAGTTGAGCATTAAGTACACTGAGAAAAAAATATAGTCAATTTTAATAAATATTTAGTTCAATACTGCCAACTAAATATTTACTTACAGTAAATAAATATTTGTTTAATAAAAAAATGATTATTAAATCAAATTAACATTTCTTGTATCAAATAAATATATCTTTATATTTAATAAATATTTAGTTGACATGTATTCAACTAAATATTTATTAAAATTGACGATATTTTTTTTCAGTGTACTAAAACTCGAATTATTCCCGCAAAAATATTAATAGCTAAGCTTTAAACTGATATGCTATCAATGTAGATCTTCTTCAAATTAAAGAGCAATTACAGTTTTATAACCTGCTTTTGTAATTTTAAACTCTAAGTTAAAAAAATCCTTTTTTAATAACAATTAACTACATTAGGCTCTCACAAAGTAAATATAAAATAGTAATACATTCAAGGATTGGAACAGTTACTTTTTCGTTACTTTTACCGTTACTTTTTATAATAATAAACACACAATTTGATAATGATGTAGCAATTTTTTATGACTGTAATGATGAAGTTACGCTAAGTTCAAGAAAGTCACTTCAAAAAATAAATTGTCACCATTACGCGTTACTTATTGGAAAAAGTAATAAGTAACGAGTAACGCTGTACAGGTTAAACTCCGTTATAAGTTACATTAAAAATGTAACAAGTTACAAATTGCACGAGTTAC